TACATAATTCTTATTATTCATATGCAAGATACTATGATAACAGTTCATGTTTGTGTACAGGCGTCTAAGAAATACATCTTTAGTTACATTGGCCAAGCCACGGTGGCACAGGCAGCAGGGCATCGCTATGTGATAATGGAGTCACATGGAAGGCCTGGATCTGGATCTTGAGTCAACCTATATATTTCAGGCATGCATGCAAGTCCATGATCCTAGCTGGCCGGAGGCTGGTGGGGAGGATTATGTCGTGGTGGGCCCCTTCTGGTGTACCTGTCCCTTTCTCTCTCTCATGAAAAAAATAAATAAGAAAAAAGTTAACCATTTCCTAACCTAAATAGTTACCAATTACTTTTAAAATATTAGGTTTAAAAGAACCACATAAAATATAATGACGAATGTTAAAGGGCAATACATCACCAATAAAATGCCAGGCAGTGAAATACTGAGAAAAGATTAGCTGATTATTTAGGTTCTTTAGAACTATCAAACTGTAATAAAATTTCAAACACTAAAGAGTAACACTGCCCCCTTTTTGCCACAAAGTCAAAAGCAGATTTGAACTAAAAGAAAGAAAAAATTTAAAGTTATATCTTCATTTTCTCACACAGTCTTTAATGCTTTGTTTAGTAAAAGATACTAAATTTAGGGGCCAGGTAGTTGTATAGTAGTTAAGTCAGCTGGATCCCACACTGTCAACTGCATGGTTTGAGTCCTGGACCCAGCAGCTTGAAAAATGCGCTGAGTGCATGTGCTCACGTGCTCAAAATCCTGAAAAGTGGGAGACATGGAGGATAAGGGATTGCAGCATGTCCATGCACCATGGAAGGGGCCTTCTCATCTTCCCTGTCTCTCTCTCTCTCTACAGAGAACACATATGCCCTATAGCAATATTTTTTTCCAGAAGAGAATATATTGGGTTGGAAAAGTCATGACATTTTTTTAAATGTAAAAAAACAGCCCTTTTCTATGTTAAAGAAAAAAAAAAGCCCTTTTAATCTATAGTCCCTACCAATCTCCTCTAGCCTATCTGGCCATGTAGATTAAAACAAAAATAAAAATCTGACCTCCAAACTATCCAGACATACTTTAGAACTTAATTTAAATGTCTGGAAAAGTACTCTTCACATAAATGAAGGAATCTAACAAGAATGCTCTTATACTGTGAAAAAAAAACTTGCTTTAGTTTTATTAAAGTAGTATGTGTAATACCTTTAAAACCAACTAACATAACCAAAAATATAACTTTGGAAGGGAAAAGGTAAAAAGATCTTAAAATTTTTGAACTGATGGTATAAATTTAAAATAACAACGAAAAATGTATCTCTTTGATACAAGCCAGATTTTATTTCCTATGCACTTAATAAAGAGGAATACATACAGAGAAAGGCATCTTAAAAAGCCATCGCTTTCTCCGTCTTCGAGATAGTTTCTGTGCGCTTGTGAGCTTCTCATTTGTAGATCTGCTGAAATAATAAGGAACAAGTTTATACCATGCTATATCCCAAAAACTAAACACATGACTACTAGATATATACATGCTACAGATAGCCAATGGCTTTTTTTTAGATTTTTGCTGTAGGGCATATGCACTCACCGGAGAGACAGAAAGACAGAAAGTGACTAATCACCCGCCCCCTCCCCTCCCAGGGGATGGCCATGATGCAATCCCTCCTCCCCTCAGGATTTTCAGCATGCATGCACAGGTGCCCAGTATGAGCTTCGGGCTGCTGGGTCTGGAACTTGAACCGTGGTCAACTATGGTTTTTACAGCTATAATTTGATATACTTTATAACGCATGCAAATTCCTCTGGCACAGCAAAAACCAAAAGAACATTCTACCACAATGAATTTCTTATTTAATTTTCAAGATCTTATTGATATTGATGCTTTTTGTAAATTACATGTGGGCTAGAATAATAGAACTTGGTTTATTCTGATCTAATTAAAGTGAAAGATGGTTTCATGTTATACATTATCATTATCCACCTACCTCTTCCTATCAATAATTAGATTAATTAAAGCAGTACCTAAAGTAAAGTATGAGCTAATACATTTTGAAAGGTAAGTTCTTTAACTTGATGTTTTATGTCCCTGTAAGTTAAAATTCATTCTAGTATAAACCAAAAATAATAGGGACTCCTACTTTTAGGGCAGTTTCACTATTTGGTTAATCTATTGAGAAAAATTTGATCAGTTCATACTCAAAACATCTTATTTATTTATTTTTTAAAAAGATTTTTACCGGGAACCAGCAGTTAGCATAATGGCTATGTCACTGGACTCCCACCTAGTTGACCGCGGCTCGCATCCCAGACCCGGTGGCTTAAAACTCACGCCGGGCGCGTGTGCGTGCGTGCCCAAGATCTCGAGAGGAGAATGGAGGAGAAGGGATTGCGGCATGACCATCCCCCCTGGGGGGTGATTTCTCGCTTTCTGTCTCTATGTCTCTGTCTGTCTGGCGAGCGCACGCACCCTATAGCAAAAATCTCTCTCAAAAAAAAAAAAAAAAAAAAAAAAGAAAAGATTTTTGCCATAGAGTACATGTGCTCATCAGAGAGAGACATAGACTGAGAGAGAGAAGTGAGGAATCAACCCTAAGAGTGGATGGCCACACAGCAATTTCTTCTCCATTCTCCTCTCGAGATTTTGGGTATGAATGCACATGCACCCAGCATGATTTTCAAGTGTCCGAGTCTAGGATTCAAACCACAGTTGGTCAGGTGGGAGTACACGCCTTAACCACTATGCCTCCTGCTGGTTCTGTCAAAGTATTTTTTGAAATAAATTAAATGTTTTCAGAATAGAATGTCCTCAAAGTGTGATTTCCAAATTAGCAGTATCAGCAAAACTTGGAACTTGCTAGAAACGCACATTCTTGGATCCTCTCTTGACTTGGTAAATTAGAAGCTCTGGAGGTGGGGCCCATACCTCTGTGTTTTAACCAGCTCTCCAAACTCTAGTGCACATTAAAGTTTGAAAACCACTGTTTTAGAAATCATCTGCTCACCTTCCATCATTATAAAAACACACACACAACCAACTCTACTACAACCAGATATGACTGCTAATGTTTCTACCCAAGCTACTTAAAATAAAACTTACAGGACATTTTGCTTAGAGATGATTCTCTCAAATGTGTAGGCTCCTGCTCCAACTGTGGTGCATACTGAATTTCTGGCTTAGACTAAAACGATAATGAATGCAATTAAGTCATTTGTACCTCTTAAGCATTTCTCAGTAACAAGTTCTAGAACATATCACCTCTATAAACATTTCTCTATAAACATTTAAATTGAGAAAAAGTAACAGTTACTATGATATAAAAAATAAAACACATTAACCACAATATATTTTAATTGCACTTCTTAAACATCAGATCCAGAGTCTTGCAAAGAAACAGACAGATTTCTGGCATAACCAACTCTTTAGTCAATTTAAATTCCTGATAACACTTAAAAAAAGAGGAAGGGCAAATTATGACATACTGTATTACATACCATACCCTTCAAAAATAAGTTCTAGTTCTAGTGGATCAGGATTAATTTGGTGGATTACAATTTTTGGTCAAACATATATTAACTTTTATTTTTCTGATTTCAAACATTCCACTCTTCCCTAAGTATGGGTAATTGATAAATTATACCAAGCATGCCATACTATAAATCTTCTATACAGCTCTGATCCTCTGGAATGGGGATTTTCCCATCTCCATTATACTTAAATTGACACAAATTTTAGAAAGAAATAGAACTAATCTCTCTAATCAGGAATAAATGAAAGCTCTACTCTGAGTCAACCTAAGCTTTAAGGTAGATCAGTTTAAGACACAGAACTTATTCACGAATTTTAATAAAAAAATTCCTGTGTTTTACTTATTATCAAAATAAGTACTGGGATCCAAGGCTCAGGATAGTGGTAAAAATCTTATACTAGCTGTATACTTAGCCACTTAATTAGCAATAATAATTAAGTTGTCTGCTTACCTGAAAGGAAGACAGTGCTGCAACATAATTTGTTGGCTAGTAAATTTGAGGAATTTAGTGAATTAAAAGGAAGACAGCATGGCAGAGTGGTATATGAATTTTGGAGGTAAAGTGCCCTGAGTGTGAAGCCGAATTCTGTTACTAGCAGTGTGACCTTTAACAAATTAAGATTCTCAGTTTCCGGGACCAGCAGTTGGCGTAATGGCTATGTTGCAGGACTCCCATGTAGTCGATCACAGTTCGAGTCCTGGACCGGGTGGTTGGTTTAAACTCATGTCGGGCACATGTGCATGTGTACTCAAGATCCTGAGAGGAGCATGGAGGAGAAGGGATTGCAGCATGGCCATCCCCCTGGGGGGTGATTTCTCGCTTGCTGTCTCTTTTTGTCTTTCTGGCAAGAGCACGTGCCCTATAACAAAAACCTCTTAAAAAATCATTCTCAGTTTCCTCATCAATTAACTAGGCATACTTAAAGTTCATAGAGTTGTCTGAAGATGTGAGATACCATGTGTAAAATACCTACTACAATAGAACCTTCAAGGAATGACAGCTGCTATTATCATGGCACACTGCAAAAAATGAGACGGGAAAATTCATCTCTTGGAGGCAAGATGCTTTGTCCACAAGTTCTTTCCAAGAATTTTAAGGAAAAGTACCATAATTAACTAAAAATTATGTCATATCCCATTTCTCTAATACTCCTAGTGATCATATACATGCCATCATTTATATTCAAAGTATATTAATTATTCTTATATTGAAAGCTTTTATTTTATCAATTTGGCCAGTATTCAATTTAGAAGACTCAGAATTCTGGTTAGATAAGAACCAATGGCCTTTAGATAAGACTTCTAATGGGCAGAGGCAAGGATAATCACACCGCCCTGACGCATTACTATTTCATGATAAATATTTGTCAATGACTAAGTATGTGGTACTATGCCAAGTCATTCATTTAAGATATATACATTTACTGTTGTTTTTTAAGTGAGTCTATGCATAATTGTCACCTGAAATATAACTATTTTTCCATCATCAGCTTGAAGATAAAAAGTCCATGAGGAGGTTATGAAGCTCTGTGCAGAGTCCATCATGTCGCTCCAGAATGACCTCACCAGAGTGAGAGGAAAGAGTAGATGCATTTTTGGCATCAGAGACATAAGCTTTAAAAAAAAAAAAAAACATGAGAAATGTCTTTTAATATATAGATATTAAAGAGAATACTACAATCAAGATTCATCAAATTTTTATTGTGACAGGGTATAAACAGTTCAATGAATCCATCATAATCATTAGAATAAGAATAAACTCTTACTTATCCTTGCAAATTAACTACACTAAAGCGTAAAGTCCTAAGCTACTTTAATTTACTACAGAATATGCTTATAACTACCTGTTATCTTTATCTGAACAGCAGGCTTCTGGGCCAGCCCCATGGTGCAGTGGTTAAGCACTGCACAGAGGAAGATGGATTCCCACATGGACAACCAGGCTTTCAATCCTAGCCTCAGGGCATGAAAAAGATGCTGGGTGTGCATGTCAAAAGAATAGCAGGCTTCTGATTCAGGTCTACAAGTATGGAGACTCTTGAGAACTAACAAGGCCTCTAGAGGCAGAAGAACAGGAAGAAACAAATCATACCATTCTCATCTTGAATGCTTTCATCTAAAATAAATTGTAATGAATGGAAAACAGGAAAACAAACAAAAAAAATCAATCAAAAGAATATATGCATAAAATGTAAGACAGAAATAAAGAGAGAATTTAGGGGCTCGATATATGTACTATACTACTGAAAAGATTTTAACATTGATTGGCATTATGTCCCCTCCAATTCTGATTTCTTAGTTTATTTTAGCAGCACCAGACCCCACCAGAGCACTAGTGTGGGATGCCATTTGCTGAACTCTAGGGATAGCTTTGGTTCTGTTATATATCAGAGAGAGGCACCATGTGGTGGTAGAGAGCAAGCAGTTTTTGGAATCAGAAGATCTGTATTCAGGATCCAATTTTCCCACTTTAACGCTGTGAAGCCTTTCACTGATTAACTCACTGAACAAGCACTTATTGAGATAAATTTAAAAGAACAGGGACCATATATGCTTTTATTCATCAACATATATTTCTGTTTAATTTGTATAGTCTACATAGGACAGAGGTTAAACACAAGGTGGTATGTTTATACAGAGAGAAGAACCTAATCCAAACTAGGATGAAGGGTGGTTAAGAAGGTTTCATAAAGAAAATGACATCTGCCTAGAGTCAAGGGTTCCCTGGGCAGATTGGGACAGGAAGGAACAGAGACATAAATAGCATGTCCTATTACAAAAATTTAGAACTGTTCAGTATGTGTATAATTAAGAGAAAAGCATTTTAAACACTTAAAAATATATTTAATGTTATTTATCAGAGAAACAAAAATTGAAACTATAATGGGCCTACCTCAGTGGGTTTGAATCCTGTGTTAATCTGAAAAACACTGGTTGTGTGCATATCCAAGATCCCAAAGAGCTAGAGGGCTGGGGAGAGGGAATCGCAGCATGACACCACCCTGTCAAGGGTGCCTCCTTTTCCTTCCCTCCCTCCTGCTCTGCCTCCCCAGCATGTGCTCAGGCAATGTCCTCTCTCATGAATAAAATAAATATATAAAAAAATTAACTATAATAAAAGTGGTACACTGTGAGCTGGTGAGAGGAGGAAAGGAAAGTGACTGCTAATGAGTATGGAATTTCTTTTGGGAGAGTTAAAAATATTCTAGAATGGGCACAACAGATGGCGCAGTAGTTACGTCGCTGGATTCCTACATGGCTGACTGCAATTTGAGTCCGCAGCCCAGTGGCTTGAAAATTACACTGGGTGTGTATGTGTGCATGCCCAAGATCCCAGGAAGACAATGGAGAAGGGACTGTGGTACAGGTATCCCCCAGGAGGGTGATTCTCACTTTCCCTTTCACTGTCTCTATCTCTCTCTCTATCTCTATCTCTCTCCCTCTCCCCGGCAAGCACAGCACCCTAAGGCGCCAGAAAGACAGAGACAGAGAGACAAAAAGCAAGAACTCACCCCCCAGGGGGATGACCACATCACAATCCCTTCTCCTCCATTCTCCTCTTGGCATCTTGGGCACACATGCACACGCACCTGGTATGAGTTTAAGTCATTGGGTCCAGGACTCGAACCATGTTAGCTACATGGGAGACCAGCAACGTAGCCATTATTTCATCTGCTGGTCCCAAAAGAAAAAAATTCTGTAATTAGACTAATGATGGTTGTACAATTTTGTGACTATACTAAAAATCATTCAACTGTGTATTTTAGAAGGGTGAAGTTTATGTATATGAACTACATCTTAATTATAAAAATTGGTACATATTCCATGGAGGGGAATTTTGCTATTTCTCAAAATTAAAAATGCACATAACTCTAAAGTCAACAATTCTATGATTTTCTTCCATAGGTATACTCATAAATGTGCAAAATATACACCATTTACAAAAGAAAAAGATTAGAAACAACCTACAAGTTCACAAATAAGGAATTCTTTAAATAAATTATGATATAGCTACACAGAATAGCATATAGTAAAAATAAAAATACGGAGTAAAAGTTCTTTGTATGTGCATAAAATGCCTCTGTATGGGTAATCTTGGCTATGTTAACAGGAAAAAATAATCAAGTAGTTAAGAGACGGGGCAGGAGACTTTTTACTACGTATCTTATTTTTGGTAATTGTCAGAGGTGTACAGCCTCAACTGAGAGAGATGGGGGAGAGGGAAGCAGGTCCCAGTGGGGTGTGGTCACATTATAATCCCTGTAATCCCTTCCCTTCCATTTCTCTATCTTACTGGGATTTCAGGAATGCACACACATGTATCTGGTATGTTTTTCAAACCATTGGGATAGGATTCAAACTGCAGTTGGTGGGCTCGCAGAGGGAGTGAAGGTTAAGGCACTTGGATTCCACGTGGCAAACTGTGAGGTTTGAGTCCCGTACCCAGTGGTTTGAAAAACATGCTAGGCACAGCGTGCCCAAAATCCCAAGAGAAAAATGGAGGAGAAGGGATTGTGATGTGACTATCTCCCCTGGGTGGATGCTTTCTCTTTCTCTCTCACTCTCTTTCTCCAGGGAGCACACATGCATTGTGTCAAAAAAGAAAGAGAGAGAGAGAGAGAGAGAGAACAAACTACAGTTGGCCATGTAGGAACTGGCTTCTTAGCTACTAGGCTATGTGCATAAAATGCCTCTGTATGGGTAATCTTGGCTATGTTAACAGGAAAAAATAATCAAGTAGTTAAGAGACGGGGCAGGAGACTTTTTACTACGTATCTTATTTTTGGTAATTGTCAGAGGTGTACAGCCTCAACTGAGAGAGATGGGGGAGAGGGAAGCAGGTCCCAGTGGGGTGTGGTCACATTATAATCCCTGTAATCCCTTCCCTTCCATTTCTCTATCTTACTGGGATTTCAGGAATGCACACACATGTATCTGGTATGTTTTTCAAACCATTGGGATAGGATTCAAACTGCAGTTGGTGGGCTCGCAGAGGGAGTGAAGGTTAAGGCACTTGGATTCCACGTGGCAAACTGTGAGGTTTGAGTCCCGTACCCAGTGGTTTGAAAAACATGCTAGGCACAGCGTGCCCAAAATCCCAAGAGAAAAATGGAGGAGAAGGGATTGTGATGTGACTATCTCCCCTGGGTGGATGCTTTCTCTTTCTCTCTCACTCTCTTTCTCCAGGGAGCACACATGCATTGTGTCAAAAAAGAAAGAGAGAGAGAGAGAGAGAGAGAACAAACTACAGTTGGCCATGTAGGAACTGGCTTCTTAGCTACTAGGCTATAAGGCTGGCCTATTACTTTTGAGTTTTATACCATGTGGCTGTATTTCCTGTATAAAAATTAACAAAAAATTTTTTTCTAGTACATTTGTAATAAAGAATATGAGGGGTAGGAAGTTTTGTTTGTTGATTTTGATGCCAGAGACCATGAGAAAAAAGAAAGAGGATAAAGCGGGGAGACAGGAGAGAAAGTACCCTACAACAGGGCCTGGCCATAATGCAATCCTTTTTTTTCCCCCCAGTTCTCCAGGCCACCAAGATCCTGGGCATAGACACACATGTCCAGTATGCCTTTCAACTAGGACTAGGACTCAAACCCTGCCTGGTCATGTGGGATCTAGCTTCCTCTGCACTGCATTTAATCACTACCATACAGAGCTTTTTAAGAGGGAGTTTTAAGAGATGACTATGGAGGGGTACTCAGGAGCTTGACTGTGATAAGAAGTTCAGTTAGGAGCAACTGAATTATATAAAGTAGGAGAACAACATGATGAGCTTTCCATTTAGAAAAAATATTTGGACATAAAGAATGGATTAGATGGAAGCTTATTTAATAATATAGGAAATGCTAATGATCTAAGTTAAGGAATGGAAGTTGAAAGGGAGAAAAGGAACTCTGAGATAGCAAATTATCTGTGCCTCAATTTCTTTATATGTAAAATGGGGATAATATCTTCACTGGACTATAAGAAGAAGCAAAATAAAATTACAGATGTGAATATAATTTTCAACAGTGAAATAACACAAAAGTAATAATTCAATGGACTATTCTCTAGGCAAACATAATGTTTGCTAAAAACTAAATATAAAGTCAATGCTAAACAGAATCAGTTGGAAAATAAGCACTGCAAGGAATACAAGTCACTGTCATCTAAGCAGGCAATTTTGAGAGACAGTATTATTTCGTACTTGTTCTTGTCTCAATTCGGCGAATGGCAGCTGATTCTGGCAACCAAGATGACAAGCATATTGCTCATCAGATTGGGAATATGCTTCTGTACATGCTGTAAGAAAAAAAAAGGTCAAATTATTCTGAAAAGAAAGAAAAATAAAGGGAAAAGACAAATAAAGAAAAGGATTTGGCATTTTACAAAGAAATTTCTTATACTTAATAAGAGTTTCATCAATCTGAACTTCCAAATTTGGTAACAGCAAGAAATACATTATTTTATTAGAACTCTATATTGTCTCCCTCTGAAAAGTCCAATGTTCCATGTATAAATCTAATCATTACATACCAGGACTTGGGCTCTCTGATGACATGTGTGTAAGGAAATCCTCATAGCTAAGGTTTATGGAGTGGGTAGAGCACTGGACTGGCACGTTGAAGATGCCATTAACAGTCTGGCTCTGTCATTTGCTAGCTGTGTATGTGACCTGGGCTGAGCTGTTTAACCTCTGACTATTGATTTCTCTGACTAAAACAGAGATCACCTACTACAGCGGGTTGACTGAAATCATTTATGTTAGGGATTTACACAATTATATGGTATTATTGTTACAACTGGGTCACTCAGTTGAGAGGCAAAGGATATTCACATGGCAAGGGGAAAATATGACAAAGTAACCAGTTTAAACTCTAAATTCTAAGAAAACTGAACAGGAAAAAATTTTTTTTGGAGAGGTTTTTGCTATAGGGCGTGTGTGCTTGCCAGAAAGACAGAGAGAGAGACAGGGAGACAGAAAGCGAGAAATCACCCTACGGGGGGATGACCACACTGTAATCCCTTCTCGTCCATTCTCCTCTTGGGATATTGGGCACGCACGCACATGTGCCCATTGTGAGTTTAAGCCACTGGGTTTGGGAATCGAGCCATGGTGGACTACACGGGAGTCCAGCGATGTAGCCTTTATGCCATCTGCTGGTCGGGAACTAGAAAATTCTTAAGCCAGTGATTCTAAAATTGAAGTAGATCTCTTCCAAATATATTCTCTTCATCTAGATCAGTAAAGCCATTGCTTTCTTGTATAATACTTTGCTATTATTAATACAATCATTTTATTTTTCTTCCCAATTCAGTAATGCATTTATGATATAATTCTCATAGGTGCAAGATAATAAACTGAACAGCTTTATGCACATATAAAGATAGTCATTTAGAAGACTGAACCATACAAATAAGGTGATGATGGGACCAGCAGTTGCCGTAATAGCTATGTTGCTGGACTCACATGTAGTCAACCATAGTTTGAGTCCTGGACCCGGTGGCTTAAACTCATGCCAGGCGTGTGTGTGTGCCTAAGATCCCGAGAAAAAAATGGAGGAGAAGGGATTGCGGCGTGGCCATCCCCAGGTGGGGATTGATTTCTCTCTTTCTGTCTCTCTCTGTCTTTCTGGTGAGTGCATGCACCCTACAGCAAAAACCTCTCCAAATAAGGTGATGATATCACAGAAAACAGAAGGTGAACCACAACAGGGGAAAAGGGGGTCTTCTGCTACACTGAATAAACAGTATAAAGAATGGAGAATATTTTACTACAGTTCTTTAAAAGCTTAATGTTAATTGTGTCTTGATTATAGATTTCTTTGATTAAACACATCTCTTTCAGCAAAAGGTAAGAACAGTGGCTTAAAAGATGGCAAAGTCTCTGGTTACTTTTTACTGGGATGACTAACAAAGAAGACACTATTAAAAATGGAGTTAAAGGTCTAACTCAGTACAAAACCTGGAGCTAAGTCAACTAACCTATGATTGGAAGGCTTAGGAAAACTATACTATCTGTGAAAAGGTAGTGATATATTACAAGTAGGGTAATTACTACTGCATTTGTCTAAACAGAATGCTTGGTTAAACAAAGGTGTCCTAAAACAGAATGCTTGGTTAAACAAAGGTGTCCTACCCATAGTACAAAGTAAACACTGTCGTAGTGAACAGATGAAACTTAAACCCCATGAAATTTCTAGCAGCAGTTACTCAAAACTCTAAATTCATAGTAATTACAATATGCTGGATGACTAGTTTAAACAGCATGCTTACAATTTCCTAAGGAAAGTATATAAAAAGCATAACACAACACAAAGAAAACACCATTAGCAAGCATCTTACCGGATTCACATTCCAATTTGGTCCGATTTAAATCAATTCCATCATCCACAAACTGACAAATTGAAAACAGTCTGCAACCTCTCTGACATGCATACAACTCCTCTTCCTAGGGAGTTTGAGAATAGGGAGGATTACCAAAAAATAGTTACTTATCTCTCAGGGGGAAAAAAAAGGTCAAGAAGGAAGCAAAGTTAGTAGGGTTTATTATAAACCATCCAATAAATTTTATAACTGAAAAGGAAAAAAATGATAGGAGTCAGGTAATACCGAAGACATTTGCCATATAAAGAGGTTTGCCTCCTTATTTTAAAAGCACTATCAAGAAAAAAGCCTAGTGAGTAAAAGCGCTGCCCTTTCTCCATATTCTCTGGTCACAATCGGTGGGGGAAAAAACTGACAAAAAAAAAAAAAAATAAAAGTGACATAATCCGAACTTTTAATACAGGTAGAAAGGAGTAAGCAGATGCCCCAGGACTGATGGCATATTTCTTTCACATCCTGGTATCTATAAATCGCCAAGTTTATCAGGAAGTTTCATGACCAGTTTCCCAGGAAATGGTGACTAAGGCCCTGACAGAGTGAGGTATACACCTATAAAAATGTTTATATGAAAGGATTTTTAAAACCTGGCTTACTACAACTAAAAACACAAGAGCAGCAAGAGTGACATGTGGGTATGGCAATTAGCCAGACCCAGACGAGACCTTTTTTAAGTGAGTGACTACACAAATTTCCGTATCTACTTCTGTTTTCTCATCATTAAAGGAGACAAAAGCTATTAGTTGTCTCCAAATCCTTCATTATTCCTGGCATAATGCCTGGGACAAGGACGGTGCTTAATAAGTGCTAGTAGTGTTAATCTCAATGAATTTTTTAAAATAGAAAACAATAATTATATGCACCATTGTATATGTGTGGGAGCTCAAGGTAGGAAGGATATATAATTATTCATTATTAGAAATATTAACTGCTTAATAAGACTGATAGCAATGTCTTCAACAAGGTTTTTCATATATATATATATATATAGATAGATAGATACATATCTATCTATATATATAATTATTTAAAACAACCTAGTGCATTTAGGGGAGTCCCCTCAACTTACTGTGTGATCCATTGTGAACAAAGGCAGGTACCTAATAAGGGAATAGCATGTGCACATACCAATTAACAACCAATGGTATACAGAGGTATAGATTTCTTCTAGCAGAAGAATTAGTAAAATTTATGCAACAGCAAGTATCCATTAAAAGGAGGTGGCTGCAGTTTTATACTAATTAGGCTTTCTCATACAACTCTTCAGGTGGCAAATTTTTGGAACTTAGTTTTAACTGCATTAAGGTGAAACTGAAAAACTTTTAACAGTTAAGATAAATTGCATTCCTTCGTAGGTTTTGCAAGCTTTGTAAAACAATGAAAGAATTCTCTTACAGGAACCAGCAGGTGACGTGGTGGTTTGTACAATGGACTCCCATATGGCTGATAATGGTTCGAGTCCTGGACCTACCTGGTGGCTTGCTTTTTCACTTTCCCCCTTTTTTTCCATCAAATTAAAAACAAAACAAAACAATAACATTAAATAAGTCTTTAAAACAAGAATTCTCTTATGTCTTTTCAGCACTATGTATTTCCTGATGTTGCACAAAGAAAGCATGATCTTATTGGCATTAGTGATTCCACATGCCATTTCATTTTCAAATAAGCTTTCTTTTGTTAAAACAACCCAATGAGCCACTTTGCAAAACTGTAAGGCATGCTGTAAATAGCCAGGGTTCAAGACTCAGCCCTGGTTTAAAGCTCAGCCTCTCCACTTATATGTTTAACCTTGAGCAAGTTACTTAAGCTCTCTGAGCCTGTTTCCTTAGTTGTAAAATGAAGACAATTTTGTGCATGTGCCTGCATGATAGAGGACACATGTGCTTGCCAGAGAGAGACAGAGAGAAAGGGAGAAGAGAAAACACCTCCCATGGCGAATGGTCATGCCACAATCCTTTCTCCTCCATCTCCCTTCTCTTTCTCTTTCCTTTCAGGGTTTTGAGAATGTACACACAGGTATAGCCCACAGCAAAAGTCTCTTTAAAAAAAAAAAAAAAAAAAAAGCGACCAGAGTTAACGTAATGGCTATGTTGCAGGAATTCCACGTAGCCGACAGTGATTCGAGTCCCGGACCCGGTGGCTTAAATTCATGCCGGGCGCGTGTGCGTGCGTGCCCAAGATCCTGAGAGGAGAATGGAGGAGAAGGGATTGCGGCGTGGCCATCCCCCCTGGGGGGTGATCTCTCGCTTTCTGTCTGTCTGGCAAGCGCACGCGCCCTATAGCAAAAAACTCTCCAAAAAACAAAACAAAACAAAACAACAAAATGCAGGTTTGGAACTGCTCAGGGAGGCTAGGCTTTTTAGCAAAAAAAAGCTGTCTGTACTTATTTTGTGCATGGCAATAAAGCTCTACTTTCCTTTATCACACGTGTACCTACAGTTTGCTTTGTAATGCACAAATGAGGAAACTTGGCTTGAATTTGGTAATGCAAGTTAAATATTTCATGTTCTACGTATCCCAAATTACTGACAAGCTTACATGAAATATATTTCCTTTGATTTAGAGCACAAGGAAATGGTATTTCCCACCATAATGAATATTTCCAGTCAAGTAGTTAGAAACTCCCTCGACTGATACTATCTATAGCTTTTATATTCATTTTCTGATCCTCAATTAAGTCAAGTTAACTACTCTCGCATTATTGAGACTACTAATACTATATGTGTATCATAGTTTTACAACACATCACAAAGAAATAACCATCTGTCACTGTGTTAGGCAGTGTACTAAAAGTGCAACATGTATTTTCTTTCATCTTCACGCTAGCTGTGCAAGGTGTGATGTTTGTCGCTCTGTCTGTACACATGACAAAATGAGCTTACAAGTGAAGTGATAACCTACGACACGCAGATAGTAAAGAAGAGCTGGGAATAGAACCCAGGTTTGTATGGTTCCAAATCTAACCTCTGTTAAAAAATGACTAGGCTAGCTCTAATTAGTTTTGTTATTAACATGGCTTCTTTTGTACTTGAACCCAGACAAATCATGCGATTTGAGGAAAGTTAAAGGATAAAATAGTAATTTCAAAATAACTACTTACAGACGGGGAAAACATTCTATTTCTTGCAACAAATAATTAATTCTGAAAAAAAGTCATTAAAATGAGATTTCTATCTGCCCGCACAAATATCAGACCAAAACAGGCTATGTGAGTTTGTAAATTCAGCCAGTTTTTTATAATACACACTGCTTTTTCCTGAACTGCAAAATATAATACAAAGGAGAACCAACAAAATTCAGTGACATAAATAAAAAAGTTAAATGTTTTAATATAAATTTATTAATAGGAGGCAATACATATTGGGGGCTGGCAGGTGGTGTGGTGATTAATGGTACTGAACTCCCACATAACCGACCCCAGTTCAAGCTGCGGACCTGGTAGCTTGCTTTATCACTTTCTCTCTGTCTCTTACTCTGTCCCTCTCTGGTCAACTTTAAATAAATAAATGAATGAATGAATAAATAAAGTTAAATAAACTGATTCTAAAAAAAAAAAAAAAAAAAAAGGGAAAAAATAAATAAAAATAAAAAAAATGATTCTAAAAAAAAAAAAAAAAAAAAAAGAGGCAATACATATAGGAAGTTTAGGGCTGAATTCTTACTCTCCTAATTAATTGGCTACCTGATGGGGGCAAGTCAATCTTTCAGAACACCAATTTCCTCAACTGTAAAACCATGCTTTGGAGGTTTGTTGCAAGAATTAGGATAACGGTATGATAAATCCCTTATCATACTGACTAAAAGAGAGTAGACTGTCCATATGTTTTAAGTCCATGACATACAGAGTCAGATTATTTGGAGAGTTCTTGGTAAGAACAGTTTAAAAAAAAAAAATGACTTATAGGCATCATACCAATTGATGAGAAAATAGTGTACATTATAAAAGTACCTAAAATTTCTAGGAATGTAAATCCTTTACGTTATTTAATTATTCTCCCAGCATTCTGGTTCACACTATAAATTTGCTAAGAAAATCTCGAAAAAGAAAACAAACGAACATGAAGACAATACAAAAATAAGACTCGGACCAATTCCAAGCCAAATCATTGACTTCAGTCCAGAAGCCAGAATTTATTTCTCTCTCAACGTCTATGTTAATCTCTGATTCTGAAAAATCTGGGAACGACCCTTCTCACACTTCTTTTTAAACTGACAACACTCATGCAATGTAAAATGCAGCAGTAAACAAAATGTGGGAAGTGACAGCGATCAGAACTTTTCATTTCTAAGACCTGAAAACACTTGTCCACATCATCATCCTACATGCCATGTAAACGTCACTGGAATAGCCTTGATAGCCACTGCAGTTCATGAAAGGGCACACAGACAATAGGGCAAAAACAAGGAAAAAAGATCTGCCACACCAGCCAAAGCTCTCATAAAGCAAGACAGAGGCGACAAATTACAAACGGGAAGGGTGTGGGGAGAGTCACCAAGCAATTCCTCCTCCTGAATAAACACATTTCTTAAGCAAAAAGCCACGTGAGAAGGACGGAATTAAAAGGAAGGCAGCAGCTGCTGAGGTGGGGGACAGGGAGAGAGCGTAGAGTCCCGCCTCTCCGTAAGCTGTGACCCCCCGCCCCTCCCGAGGGTGGCCTGCTTTCTTCACCCACTCCACGAATTCCTTCTCCTCTACCCTGAGTAATGAGTGTGTAGAGGCAGGACCCTCACTGCTTCTCCTCTAAGACACTCCAGTGCCTGGTGGCAGCGTCCTGCCCACGTAACTCAACAAAGGCGAGAGCCCTCGGTGCGTCCCACGACTTCTAGGGCTGACCACCGTGCGCCTGTGCCCTCGGTAGACCGCGCCCCTGGCCCAGAAAGACGCTCAGTAATCCAGGGTTCCGAATGACCCCCGTGGGCTCGCGGACCTGCGCCTTCCACCCAGCCCTCCCTCACACTCCCTGAAAGTGGGGACCCGCCCTAATTGCCCCCATTCTCCTCCCCAGGACTGCCGGGTTGCCCCGCGGCCCCGACGCTGCCAGAGACAAGGGATGGTGTCTTTCTCATCTCGGTTCTCCAGCCTATCACAAGGAAGGGCAGTGCAAACTTCCGGTAATGACAGCAGGAACGGGGTGCAGGCAAGATCGGGGAGCAAAACAGGAGCGACACAGGTGGGAGGTAGTGGTCGAAGGGCAGTTTCAACCGCCAGCTTCCCAGAGCCGACGTGGCTGTGAGGAGCAGAGAGAGAGTCAGCAGGGAAGGGAGGTAGCCCGGGTCGCACGGGCCCTACCTTGGGGTAGGTGTGCAAGGGGTAGGTCAACTGACAGGCCCGGTGGCAAGACGCCGTATCACCCAAGACCGAGTCAAAAGCTTCAGCCGAAGCGGTCCCTGAACCTCCGGCCAGGGCCATGGTCAGCAGCAGCAGCGGCGGAAGCCCCCGTTGGGCCCTAACCCAGAGGCTCCCCTTCGGCGCCGCCATTTTGTTCCCCTCTGTCACAGCGGCTCGGCTTGTTGCTGTTTTCTTTTCAGGGTTTCCTCCTCCTTCCGGGGCCAGCCTCGCTCCTAGCCCCGCGGGTCGCTGCTTCCGCCTCCGCCGTCGTCTAGCCCCGCCCCGCCCCGCCCGAAATTGCAGCCTCGGGCCCCTCCTCCGGGACTCCCAGCGTCTCCCAGGCTGCGCTGAGGCGGGAGATCCAACCATCGCGAGGATTAGCGAGGCCCGGGGCAGGCTGGGACATGTAGTTCTCCGCGGCTGGAGGCGCACGGTACTGCCGAGAAAGTTGGTCTCGGAGGACTACAGTGCCTTGTGCGCGCCCGCCGCCCGCTCCCTTCGCAGTGCATTCTGGGGAGTGTGGTTCGTAGTGGACCGTAGGTGCGCCGCCTCGCTTCCGATGAGCCACTCGCTGGGAGGAAGCTTCGTTTAGTACCCACGCTCGCTGTTGGTTAGGGGACCTTACAGGGTGAGCCCAGCTCCTCCCGGGACTGCTCTCCCTGGTGGGTCTCACGGCAGATCGCGTGGGTGCCCCTTCTGGGCTCTCGAGTGCTGGGACCAGAGGAAGATGGTGTTTCCCTTTGCTCCGGGATCCCTGGCATGACAGTTGGTTCGGGTCCTCTGACACCCCCTCCCTGCCCCCAGCTGTTGCCCCTGGGGTGGCTGCTTGTTGTGCGGACTCCTTGCAGAGGTTTAGCCTTGGTGGTTGATTGCTGCTTGCTAAGATACCCTTTAGGATTGTGGTCGAGGTGGGGTAGTTGTTAAAAGCGCTTCATTGAGTTCAGTGAAATCCTACCCGTGCCCCAAGTTGGAAAGGGGTTTGGAAGTCACCAGGTTCAACCCCGGGGCCAGTATTGGAATCCCCTTTCAGTGCGCACTTCTAGGCACCTCCTAACTCAGTAAGTAGACCCATCATATTATAATATATAGAGTTTCAGTTCTCAGGAAGCATTCTCTTTTCCTAGAGGAATTCTTGAAAGTTCCACCCAGGGGGCTCCATAATTCAGGAATGCAATTCAGAGAACCCAATTTCACCTTGGGGAATACACGTCACAACAGTCTTGGTGGAATGTTACAATCTGCCCTCTTTATTGAGCAGAATAAGCCTGTGAAGGTAGTCCGAGTCCTCTAACGATGGATAAATACGTCATTCGAACGCCTAGAATCCAGAATTCCCCTCAGAAGAAAGATGCTGGAGGGAAGATTTACAAGCAGGCTACTATTGAATCTCTGAAGGTGAGAGGGGATTTGGGACTAGGGATTTTGTGCAAAGGACAGCGACAGCAAGGAGTTGCCGAGGGGTTCTATTATATAAGATCTATGAATTGTTTCTTTGCCTTCTGGCAAGTGTTACTTGGCCACTCCTTTATTTCCCGCATACCTGTACAGACTTCTGTTTATCAATTCTGGCACCTCTGCTACACTCTTCTAATGACAGCATTCTGGCTTTATAGTGTATTTGCTAACTGGCACGACAAGTCTTCTTGGTTATTAATTTTTCTTTTTTCTTTTTCTTTTTCTTTTTTTGCAAAATGTTCCAGTGTTAAGAATGTCAAAGTACAGGGCCAGCAGGTGGCATAGGGGTTAAGGCGCTGGACTTCCACATGGCAGACCACGGTTTGAGTCCTGGACCTCGTGGCTTGCTTTCTCACTTTCCGTTTCTCACTGTCTCTCTGGTCTAATTAAAAACCATAATAATAATGAAATAAAATAAATAATTATTTTAAAAAAAGAATGTTAAAGTACCAAATACGAGTCTCTATAGCCTGTACAAACTCAAAGGGGATGGGTGATGATGCTACACTCTTTATCTTAATTTGCTAGACCTGTATCACATGGCCTCCACAACTAAATCCGAGACTGGCAAAGATATTCTTTCCATGGACTGTTTGCTACTGCAAACTTAGTCCTATTTCTGTTAGCAAAAAAGTGAAAGGAATAGATACAATGAATCAATGAACATGAGTACCCAATAAATGCTGAAGTAATTATTTCACTAAAACAAAACAAATCAACTTGTAATTAATTAGTCCTCTTTGTTATCTTGAACCTCTCCTACATGTCTGACTTTTTCTTTTGTTTCCATTATTGGCTCCTTTTCCTCCACTACATTAATGTTTGTGGTCCCCAGGGCTCTGTCACCTTTTATGCATTTGGCCAGGGTGACCTTATTCATTTCAAGGATTTCTATGCTGACTGCAACCGAATCTGCACCTCCAGCCTAGATTTCTGAAGGTGAGAGGAGGATCTGGGGCTAGAGAAAAATGAGTAAAAAAGCTATGATAGAAAGGCAGCGTTTTGAGTACTCACACACTCAGATGGACTTCCTTTGCGGATGTTCCACATGCTGGCCAAACCCAGATCAGAAAGGAAGTATTAACAGAAGCCCCGAGGTCTAGGTCTTACAGTGAAATTGGTGATCTTCAGAAGTCATTCCTTTCTCTAGGACCTCAGTTTCCTCACCTAAAATATAGAGATTGAATTATATCAGAGTTTCTTCAAGGGAGTGCTGTTGTCATTTGGGGCCAGATAATTTTTAACTATTTGGAGCTGTCTTGTTTAGAATCCTTGTCTGTCAGATGCTAAATACCAAAAAGTACTCCCATGGTAATATCCAGAAATGCCCTCACATATTTCCAGACGGCCATTGTTTAAGACCTACTGAAGCCTAGATCATCTTTTAAAAAAAAATTTTATCATTATCATGATTATTTTTAAATTACTACAGGGCATATGCACTCACTAGAGAGAGAGAAAGAAAGAGAGAAAGAGAGAAAGTGAGAAGCAAGCCTCCAGGTCTGGGACTTGAACCACAGTTGGCCGTTTGGGAGTCCAGCACCTTTAACCACCAAGCTACCTGCCAGCCCCCCTCTTTTTAAAAAAATTTATTTCTAATTATCATTATGATTCTTAAAATTCCCTAGATCATCTTTTTTTAAAAAATATTTATTTTAATTTTATTTATTCGTTCATTTATTTTAATTTGACCAGAGAGAGACAGAGAGAGACAGAGAGAGAGAGAGAGAGAGAGAACAAGCAAGCCACCAGGTCTGGGACTCAAAACCATGGTCAGTCATGTGGGAATGTCCAGAGCCTTAACCACCATGCCACCTGCTGGCCCCCCCTAGATCATCTTTAAAGTTTGTTCTAGTCTTGCAGTTCTGTGAGTTCATAGAAGATATTCAAGTTTTTCAACTATCTCTATTTCATCAGAATATTCACAACTAATTATAGAAGCAATATCCCTCACTTTCAGTGAGGGTTCATAATATCAGGAAGAAAAAGGAAAAGGAGGGGGGATAGCAAATTAAACTACACATACACTCACCTACAGCTCCCAGATTGGAACTTACCCTCTTCCCACTCCTTCTTTCTGTGTCTCAGTTGAGGATCACTAAGTGTGACGATGAACATAAGTGATGTGAATTATGGAATCAGAATAAACAAGCATCCCCCTACATACATTAGTTTTTCTTCTAAACCTCTTCCTTATTCTCCTACATTTACTTTCATATCATATACCAAATCACAGAATAGAAACCTAAGAAACATCCTTAACTCTCATTCCTTAGATCTGTATTCACTTCTGCTTCCTCAAAATCTTTCTTGTCCATACTTACATCTCCCACTTTAAATTCCGAATCTTATTTCTCTCTTAGAGCAGCGCTATAGTCTGTTGACTTATTTCCCTGGCCTTGGCATCCCCATCATTCTCCCTCCATGCTCATGCCAGAGAAATAGGTCGAAAGGGGAAAAGAAAATTTGGTCAGGTTACCTCCCTGCCTAACTCTTCAGTAATTTCTCATTACCTTTCAATAAAGAGGTCCTTTCTTTTTTTTAAAAAAGAATGATTTAACTTTATTTATTTATTTAAATTTGACCAGAGAGGGACAGAGAGAGAGAGAGAAAGTGAGAGAGCAAGCTGCCAGGTCCAGGGCTCGAATCATGGTCAGCCATGTGGGAATCCAGCACCCCTAGCCACCATGCCACTTTTCAGCCCCAAGACCTCCTTTCTTTAGACAGCACTTAGGCCTTCCACAACCTGTACCTGCCTTCTTCCTTCCCTGCCCCTCTTATTATTTATACCCCATCCAATGTCAAGCACTCACAACTCCCCAGAGATGCTGTGCTCTTTCATACCTCTGTGCTCTTGGATATGCTATCCTGTGTGCCCATAATGCCTTTACCCTCTTGTCCTGGAGGCAATATAGTGTAGTAATTAATACAGGGGCCATGAGGTGGTGTGGCAATTAAAGGCACTGGACTCTCCCATGGCCAACTGCAGTTCAAGTCCCGGACCTGGTGGCTTGTTTTCTCTTTCTCTGGTCAAATTAAAAAATAATAACAATAACAAATGAAATGAAATATTTCTTTAATTTAAAAAAAAAAAGAAAAAAATTAAGACTCGGAGACAAAACTGACTATGTTAAATCCCTCTCTGCCACTTATATCCTGTGACTTTGGGCAAGTTCTTTAACCTCTCTGTGCCTCTCCTCATCTATAAAAGGGGGATTAATAATAACACTTATTTGTAAGGTCCTACAAAGTTTGAGTGAGACATTATAATTAAAGCGCTTGGAGCAGAGCTTTGTGTATATTATGTATTATGCAGTATTTCCTTTACTGTTTTTATTATTACTTTATGAAATTCCATTTGTTCCCTGTGAGCTAGCTCAAGTCTTCTCTCCTATGTGGCCTTTCCTGACCACTATTTTCGCCCCCAGATAGAGCGAGTCTAATCACTCCTTTTCTCAGCCATCCCTGTGCCTTACACATGCCCGTATCATTGCACTTACTTGTTTTATATTATGGTTGTTTCTTTACAAGCCTGTGCCCTGCTCTACTCTGAGTTTCTTGAAAGGCTGTGGCTTATTGATTCATGTCCTCAGCACCTGGCACAGCGGTTGGCATATTGTTGGCCACTTGACATTTTCCTAAATGACCAAACGGACTAAAACTCTGAAAACCTTGGCATGGTTATAGACCTTTCCCGTTCTGTCCCAGTGGGTCTCGTCTCATCGCTACGGCCCCTCCTCTTACATGAATGCATCCTTATCACACCCCATTTTCTTGCTGTTCTTCATATAAACTTTTTTTGACTTGCCATCACTGGTCCCTTTTCCTGGAAAGCTCTTCTCTTTCTTTTTACAACAAATTCCTATTCATTCATCAACCCACTCAAGAACCACTTTCCCTGTGAATCCTAGATTATATGAGTACAGGGATTCCCTCCTTGAGTACAGGGGACGTGAGTATTTTATTTACCTCTGTGTCTTTAGAGCTACCACAGTGACTGGCACATATTCAGTGGTCAGTAAATATTTGTTAAGTAAATGAATGTTGAAATACTTTCTAGATCCTTTAGCAGAGTTAATCCTTCTCAGGACACTCTTAGTACTTGACTCAAATAAACTGTCATAGCACTTACCTTACTGTATTGTCATTCTCTTATTCCTTGTAGTTTCCTCCAATCCACTATGAAGGCTGAAGCCTGGAACTGTAGTATCTTTTTTTTTTTTTTTTAATAATAATAAGTCCTGGCATATTTTTTAAAAAAATAATTATTTTATTTATTTATTTATTTATTTATTTTTATTTAGTTTGACCAGAGAGAGACAGAGGGTAACAGTGAGAAAGAGAGGAAGTGAGAAAGTAAGCCACCAGATTCAGGACTTTAGCCCTGGTCGGCCATGTGGGAATGTCCAGCGCCTTAACCACCACACCACCCACTGGTCCCTGGAATTGTAGTATCTTAATTCCAATTCTGCTCCAAGGCCCTATCACAGTGCCTGCTACATTGTAGGTAAAATTTATTGACCACAATAGTCATTGTTATTTGGGCATGTCCTTATAAGGTTTTTATAGTAAACTCTTTTGTGAAACAGCTTTATGATGGCTTTATTAATGTCTATTAATTTATTTATCACCGGGCCCAGCAGATAGTGAGGTGGTTGAGGTATTGGACTCCTACATGGCCAACTGTGGTTTCTCTCCTGGATCCAGTGGCTTACTTTCTCACTTTGTCTCTCTCTGTCACTCACTAGTGAGCGAAATAAATTAAATAAATAATTCTTGAAAAAATTTATTTGCCCAAAATCCTGGGAGCAGAATGGAGAAGGAATGGCAGTGTGGTCATCCCCTGTGGGCAGCAATTTCTTGCTTTCTATCTCTATCTTTCCACTGAGCTCACACACCAATAGTAAAAATCTCTCTTTAAAATAACCACATTGGGGGCC